ATCATGAATGATCGTCAGTGCGAGATTCTTTCTAAATGAGGGGGTTTATTTCAGTGGACTTCCACCAAAAAAGTCACCTGTTCCCGGACCAGCAAAGCTGCCATTGCTCGGGGTCAGGGCAACCGAGCGTCGGAATCCCTGTCTAGGCGTGGTGGGCGCACTGGCAGCAGGGGCGGTCACTTCAGGAGTGCTGGGGGTGTTTCTACCGCTATTATTCTGCATCGTCACTGCAGTTCCAGGCCGTGATAAAACGGCTGTAGCGCCGTTTCGAGCTGGTGGTCGGAATCCTAGTTTGGATCCCTCGCGGAATAGCTCCTCGAGTATTTGTGAAACAACCCCTGCGTCTTCATATTCCTGGAACTTCTTCCAAAGACGGAGGGCCATACGTGCATCTTCAATAGAGTCGTGCCCTTGGTTATTGTCGGTGGGTTCTTCTTGGATGTATTCCTTGAACACAGCCCACGCTAAGTATCGGAGACTGAGACGCCGATTCTTACCGGGGTGGAAGAACAAATATTGGGTATCGACTGTCTGACTTTTGGGGACTTGGATATTGATTTTGCGGAAATCGGAGGCTAACCCGTGCCCGACAAAAACGCATCCCAAATTGAGGAGTAACCACAACTTCTTATATGCGACTTTAAGTGGGACAAGATTATGTTGACTAGTTCTAGGGTCCAAGTCACCGGGTTTAATGCCGGAGTACTGAGTGACATAGTCAACAATCGTCTCTTTGATGGTGATATAATCGTCGATAAAAGGTACGCCTTCTCGAGTCCCTGAGCCTCTAAGAACGGAAACTCGAGCAAGGCCACTCTTGCTGGGTCGTACAATTTCTTGAGAGCCATCGGCTTTCACGTCGATCTCTGCCTTTTCGAGATCAACAAATTCGGTATCGAGGGCAACAGGAGTACCAGGAGTCGGTTTCTCTTCCTCTGAAAGAGTAGCAAGTGATTCCACGGAGCGACCGCCACTGAAAGGAATTGTCAGCATGGAACTATCTAGGATTTGGAGCATAGAATCAACCTACTTGAGTGACCAATCGCGATAAAGAAGAGTCGTGTCAAGGACGTTCTTCCAGTTGTCATCCCTGGCATGGCGAGCATCCTTTACCTGATATGCCAGCACACACGGCACTTTCCACGGTTGACTGAACCGGAGGGCTTCATCCTTATCTACTTCCGTGACCAGGAAGTCATTGAACAGATGCCATTTATTGGCAGCTTCCGGTTCGCGTGAGGAGATGGACACATTGATAAAGGAGACTAGATGAGCTTTCTGATGCTCAGGAATATCAATTTCTGAAACCACGCCCACCAATTCATACACCACAAGGCCCGGCATGTTGTTCTGCATCCGCATCCGAAGGTCTTCCCCTTCAAAGCACAAAATCTGGCCAGCATCAACTACAAGGCCAACCGCCTCTGGTAGCCATCCTGGAATTGCCCAAAGCCGTCTGCAGATAGGATTATTTAGTGCGGTGTTGAGCATCATAACGAGCGGCATGCGATGTACGGTCTTCCGAATAGCCACTTGCTGGTAACGTCGGCAGTAATTGCACCATCCTCTGTTCTGAGTCTCACGCTCAATGCTTGCTCGTAAAATGTTTGAGAAACGGTACGCAGGGTTCCTACGAATCTGCTTTATATCAATTGCTGGATAAATTAACTCATTAACCAGCGAATTCCCTGGTCGGACGATTTCCTTCTGGCAAAACATGCAGCGAATAGACTCGGAAGCAATGGTTGCTAACTTGTGATCGAGATCATCTGAGCTCGGGAGAATCATGCGGAAATCATGAGAAATTTGGCCAAGGAAGAATCTGTTGACAGCCTGAATTGAAGTAGACAATGACTTATTCGTCAAGTTCTCTTCAAGCAGCCCCAAACTGGAGGCTTCCCGAAAACTGCCGAAAGTCTTTAGAAGATTCGTCGCTTGACAGTTCTGACCGTCTGCTTTCTCAAGCATATCGAAGAGATAGCCCATCTCACATAGAAGGCAGTTTTCAAATATGCATGTGCTTGCGGCGTGATGGAGAGCTACATTTCGTATCAACGGAATGAATTTAAATAGCTGGAGGAGAGCATTCGTGAAGGAGTTTGCAATGTGTGTCTCCAGACCAGAGAATTTGGTCTGGTTATAGAATCTATATCAAATGTCAACTGATCTGTTTTGGTTCGAAGAGCTCAGTGTGTGGCTTACCTAAAGTCGAAATCATCGACACCAAATCGGCTGTATTTGATCTCGACATTACTGTATTTGAGAAGAGGGTCATCCTCTGCTTCACCGTTAAGCTTCGTGCCCGCAAGTGTCTCTGCTGCATCAGTAACGAGGCCATCCGACTTCGCCTTACTTTGTTCTCTTGCCTTTTCGCTCAAGAACTTCGGCGCAATAAGAGCAGATTCAGAATTGGCCAGTGCGCGAGTATTTTCTACTTGATTTCGTCGAGTCTTCTTTGGGTTTGGTGCATAGTGCCCAATCTCCGCGGGACGGAGGTAGGGAATTAGTGCTTGGTCAATAGAGGCCGGCGGGCTGCCGATCTCAAAAACAAGGTGGCTCGGCCATGCAGAAAACAAGCGCTCGTGGTAATATGGCATGCCAATCATATTCAAGGGCGTATCGGGTGACCAGTCAAGGGGTGGAGGTCGGGCAGGTACATCTGCAAATTCAACTTCCTTGCTCATCTCGTTGAAGTGTACCTTCGATGGAGAACCCCACAAGTGGATCGCGCACTCTGCATCATTTATGGCTAACGCCTCCCCAGAAGGCGACAAATCGATACCAAGCATGAACGAAACATTGGCCTGGCGGAGGTTGATTGCGTTAGGGTTCATGAGGTCAACCACCTGCAGCTGACCGGTCTGAGACGCAACGAAACTAGTGGTATGCAGTTTAGGATGCATGCGCACATACGCAGCCCCAGCATGGAAAGGTATAGGAGGTAATGGCGACAGTGTTTTGAGATCATAAACGTTGGCCAAGGGATCGACGATGGGTGATCCCAGATGTCTGACCGAAAATCCACAGGTGACTAGAAGGTCATTCCTAGCATCCATATCATTGACAGCTGTTCCATGAGCCTTCCAAGACTTGACGACACGGAAATCGGTGAGGCTCAAGGCGTTCACTGATCCGGTATCTGTCGCAGCACAAAGATATCGACTCTTTTTCATCATCGTGTAATTATATTCCGTCGGTAGCTTGTCGACTATGTGTCCCTTATCGATATCAATTGTAAACATTGTCTTCTGACACCCGGCCACTATAACTTTGTTCAATTGTGCTGTGAAACTCATGCAACGTAGATCCGTCATATCCTCATGCGTAATGTGCCATTGCGTCAGGCCACGCCGGGTTATCATATGAACACTCTTCGAAGACAACGAGATCACGCCCCTATCATGAAATAGTATCTGCCGCACGGGGCCTTCGGAGACTGGGTGTGCGCGAACGGAGGTATACCTCTGTAATTCTGGACCGCAAAAGGAAGTGATTCGGCCCTACCGACGAAGCAGACGCAGATCAGCACATGGTCAACTTTCAGAATGAATGGCCTTACATATTCGTTCCCTGCCCACAGCAGTTCCATCACATCATCAAAAGCTATTGCTGTCGCAATTGTAGGCATGCCATGTGGGCTTGGAGGTGGCACCGGAATGCGCGACAGTTCATCCCAATCGGCTTCCATGGTGCTAACATTGCACCCGGGTCTTCGCCCGAGCCTCTGTCGTCTTTAAATCAGGTGCAGACGGCGTGTGTGATTCCTAAAGGCTGAAACGGTCCTGTCCATTCGGAAAGAGAGCGAAATCGGGCATTGTTCGGCGTAGACGCGATTGCGGGGGGAGCTAACAAATGTCGTTTTCCAGGGTCGCAGCACACGGTCTTGAAGGGTAGGAGCCGACCCAAACTATCCCATTCACCAGTAATATTACCCGTCTGTGTTCGAAAATATACTTGGAAAGCCCCCCAAGCATGCTATCTGCACAGGTGAGGCGGTAATACTGATGAGGTACCGACACGTCATCACGTGAAAGCTAGAGCGGGGGGCATGCTGTATCGCCTTAGGCAGCGATCAGGTAGCCAAAAAGGAAAAACACATAAAAGTACGTCCCCGAGTTATAGAGTATGCACCTGTAGGGAGTACGGAGTACTGCTTGCCCTAATGCCATATCTATACCACAAATCAGGACAGTGAGGTCATATGTATTTGATAATAATTCCATCTATCAAGCCTCGTAGTTATATCTTCTTGAGCATAGACTCGCATCAAAAGTTTAGAACACACTAGGCAAAACAATCCATAGGACATACATGGAAGATAGCACTAATATCCAATGCCAATTCAGCACGGAAATAAAGTATACTCATTGCACGTAAAGCTTAACGAAACTTAAACTATATTGCAAGTACTCATACAGAATAGTAATCCAGCTCATTTATGGTACTACTTAAATGCGATTGACCGCACATTGTGCCATATCATAGGACAGCCAGAAAGGACCGCCAGATGACAATACTTAGCTCAGGGGGAAAATTCCGACCGTGGAAAAGGCCTTCGTTGCTTGCATACTGCAGTATTAATGAATCCGCCAAAAGGGATCATGTAAATTTAAATTTTTATCAGATTATGCATTGTACAGTAAGGCATTTGACTTGATTCTTTATTTGAAAAAGCAATCGCTTTTAAAGGCGTGATAAGCTCGAGGTCTTGAGCCTTCAGAAGATACAGGATCACATTCCCCCTCTGGAGACTGTATAAAACTAGGGTTTAGCCCCTTCTTCACCCCCCGTTGTAGAATAGTGCGCTTACAAGTAGTTGTACCTATATACCAACTTCTATTGCATGACGGCGATAGATTTATTCTACAAGATGTAATAATCTTCGCTGAGCGTACGATTGGTAGAGCTTTTAATCGGTGCTAAGGGAGACGTCCACACGCTGCCGTTTCTATCGGCTGCGACTAGTCTAGAGGCGTTCACAACCAGTGCCAGTAAGTACATGGACATACTACTGGGATGCAGATCAGTCTAGCCATATCGTGATCATTTCTGATTCTGAACTGTTGCGACTATGCGGATTCCATCTGCATATTCAAACGAAGTGCATCGAACACATGGCAAACGTCCATATTCGTCATTTGGCTAGGCACAAAACAGAGCGCAAGTAAATGATTGAACACACGGCTACCAAGATCGACAAAGCAGGCTAATGTAACAGAACAAGAAAAAGCAATCCCCCGGCGCTCGCCTAGACCCGAGACCAAGCATCAAACCCTCATCGCGTTACACAAACCTCAATGGGAAAATGGTGCCAATACGCCATTCCATTAGGTGAAATCATGATATTCAGATCTTGTAAGCCTCGCCGCTAGCTATTAGCGATAAAATGAAGCCGGGTTGGAGTTAGGCGCCGTTCCTTGCGATGGGTTGTATGCTTGATAGCCTCCTGCTCCGGGGGTTAAAGGGTAAGGTGTCGGTGTTGACGATGTGCCTGGGACAGGGGGTGGCTGATGCATTGGTGGTTGTTGATTGGAAGCTGAGCCTGTAGGGTACGGGGCCTGTGGCTTAGCTGCATCCTCAGGGGCATAAGGGGGGTATTCCTGTTGTTGTTGTTGCTGTTGTTGTTGTTGTTGTTGTTGTTGTTGTTGTTGCTGCTGATGTTGCTGGAAGGGTGGCTGGGCAGCCGGCGGGGCTTGTCCACTAGCAGGATATGGAAGCCGTTGGCTTGCGGAAGGATGCTCCACAGGGGAGTCATAAACAGATGTTCCCAGTTCTTGCGGGTGTTCATATGTTGATTCTGGTCGATGATGCACAGGCTGATAGGATGCTCCAGCTGGGGGTGTGCAGTTCCGTTGATCGGGGGATTGAGACGGCGGAGGGTACATAGGCGCTTGGTCTGCACCGTAGTAAGGGGATGTATTGGGCTGGTGTGATTGGGTTTCTTCTCGTGAAATTAGAGCTATGCTTGCTGATAATATCCACTGGCGATCACAAACCTTGAGGCCGAGGGCTGAAATATCTTTGAGGATCAGATTGCGGAGGGCCCTGAGGATAGCCCATGGATGCCGCAGGCCCGGGATACCCATACTGGGATGGACCAGGCCTGCCATACGGAGGCTGGGCGGGGTGCGACATGGATGCCTCCAGAAGAGATTCATAGTCCCGTCTCGCTTTAATGAACTTCTCATTAAGTTGGGTAAACTCATCTTGGTACGCATCAGCAAACGAACTGAAGCGGACGTTCAAGCGACTATACCTTTTTTCTGAGAATATTTGCCGATGAGCTCAATCAGCTTAGGTCGAATTGCCAAAGTTGAGTGGTACAGGGCCGTGATTTCCTCATTATCCTGAACGTTTGGTTCGGTGCTACGCGTGCTGAGGAGTGTCAATAATTTCTCAACGTTCTTTATCTGGCCGAACACCTCGCCTTCCATCTGAGCTTCCCGCTGTAACTCTTCAACTGTAGGATCAGGGAGCTTTTCAACATAGTTGAGGGGGAAAATGCCTGTTTGCCCTCTTAGAGAGCCTTTCCACCAATCCTTATACACGGATTCGAGCACTGCAATGACATCGCCTCTGCGGAATTGTAGTTCGCCAGGTTCTGAAGGCTGGAAGTCATAGAGCGCCCTAACTCGCGAGACCGTGGCAGCAGAAGTACCAGAAGGAACCGCCTGATGTGTCGGAGCTTGTGCCTGGCTGGCAGGAGCAGCACTAGAAGTACTTGACTCCGGCTTTGGCTCAGGGGCCACAGGGTTCTTTTCTCTAATTGAGAGCGCTAGCGCCATTTGCAATTCCTCCTCTTCTTTCTGACGATCCGCATCCGTTATCTCTGTCTTCACGGGCTTTGAAGGGGGCTGCAGGTTCGGGTCTGCCCGATTAGGATGTAAGTAACGAGTCCCACCAATGTAACGTTCCGTCAGTAACTTACTCTGTGTCTTCAACTTCATATATGCTTGCTCCATAATACCGAAGTCTGGGTTACTTGAAAACATGTCTGTCCACTCTTGCATACGCTCTAGAATCTTTGCCTTGACCTGCTGGTGGGTGTTCTGCCGGGAACGTTGTCAGAGCCTACGTCAGATGCAGTACGGCAACGATACGTACTCTATCACTAGCAAGACGGAGCAGGGCATCCGTGAAGCTTCGCGAAGCCAGTTCACGGTGTATCTTCGGACCGCAATTCTGTGCCAAAGCATTGCCCAACTATGAGAAATGTGAGAGTTTGTCCCGGACATATTCTAGGTGTTTTGAACGGGGGTGCGAACCTCCAGAGTATACAGTTGTACATTCGCGTTTCTATGCGCAAGTCTCTTGATCAGAGCCGCAACGGCATCTTTCGCACTATACCCAGGAACCCATATTAGCACAGATTCGTACAGACCCGGACAGATAGACCAAAGGACCAGACTTACCCAGACTCCTCCGCCGCAACTTTATCGCACACATCCTATTAGATCAAGACATCAGATAAGTACACCCAAATCTGATTGCGGTAGATTGAAGTGTTGAAAAAGTTCCCATACAAGAATATATTCCCAATTCTCCGATGTCAGATTTTCGTCAGTCGCCTTGGCTAATTGCGCAAAGAGTCACGTCAGTAAGCTCTACAAAGAAACTGGCCGGATATCTCGTCCACGCATTGCATGGCAGTATGAAGAATGTGTGACTAGGATATCGTACCGACTGCGTCATCAAAAGCGTTCTGCTGTGCGCGGAACATCGTGGTTGTTCTTCCTCAAGCTAAGCTAACCGACAGCGTAATGTCTGAATTGACGGTGACAGGTAGGATCGTATTTCGCTCAAGAGAATACGAGGCTTGTAGTCGGTCTAGGGAAGTTGATCGCCTGCAGGTATTGACTCGGCTAGATGTAGCCACTAAATTCTGATGGCCTCCAGGTCCCTGATCAACGCCCGGTGCGGGGAACCGGTCGACGGTATCGAGACGAAAGACAGAAGTCGGCTCGCTGTTGAGCAGTGGCTATTGGCTTCGTGGAGATTATAAGGGGCAACAGGCTCCCGCTAAGAACTGGGAGGGATCTCAGGAATAACGAAGGAACGTTAAGATCTCGGGCATTCAGTGGCAGGCTGCAACTGATACTGCCTTACGGTCCTAGTAGTACTAGTATCCTCCTAAACAGGTGATCGCGCAGGCGGAGAGCTGCGCCTCTGACGCTGACTGGCCGCGCGCTACGCCCGAATAAGCGAGTTCGGGCCCTATGACGATATTACCAACTATGACGGAAACTTATCAGGCAGGTACAGTACATATGTACCAGCCCACTTCCACGATGGTTACCAGTACTCCTGGTGTCTAGGTAGATAGTGTACCGCATAATTGTAAAAAAGCAAATACAAAACACTATGAGTATTGGTTCCTTTCACTTGGATTGGGATAAGTACGTCCACGAGATGGATACAACTGCCTAACCAATACCCAGAATTTGAAGTGGACAAAAATACACATTACCATGATTTTACGTGTCCCGTAGGCATTACATTCTTGAACTATTTAAAGCACAACTGTCTTTCGCAGAGCTACTAGAGAGACCAGAACGCTGTGCAGAATACCTCGCGAATCTGTAGTACAAATACCGAAGATCACCCAGACGGGATATATGTACAACCTCAGTAGCTTTTCAGTCGCCGTTCGGTTCAGCTCATTATGAGAACTATGTTAACGGAGAGGACATCGGAAAAGACTGCGCTCATTTTAATTGAACTAATATCTAAACTGCCAGGAAAGTAGCGGACATCATGAGGATAGTGAACAAGAAGTCATATATTAAACCGGGAAGAGGCCTAGCCGTGCCTTGGTATGTGCTGCTGAAGCCTAGGTTACTCTTCCCACATGGAAGCTCATTCATTATGAAGGGTCATATCCCGCTAGCTCTAGCTTTCAATCCCGCTGGCCCATAAAGCAGAATTACCGGCCAATAATGATAAACGAAGGGAACCGCATATAGGATTTACAGTATTTTTCATCATCCCAAATATCGGTGATGATACAAATAAAAAGAGTGAGGTATGAAATAACATCATCACAGTAAGAGAATATATTCGAACGTGAGGTAAGGTGGGAATTTTTCGTAAGCCCTGTCACAGCAGGAAAGCAAGAAGTGCAAAGCCATCAATCATCGCCATCTATGAGATTTAGATCCAGAAGAAGAGAAACACGGGCATGGGAGGTCGTCATGAAAGATTGTGCCATTATGCAGCAGCAGCATATCATGGCCCAGCAAGATATAAGAAAACATCAGGAGCAATGGGTATCTGGAGAAGACAGAAGACATCGACGTATATAGAGACAATTAAATGTGAAGAGGCTCAATGACCCCCTTTTTGAGCTTTCTCCTGGGCCCTGCTGAGCCGTGCGGCTTTTACAAGAGGTGCTAGATGGGATAGAGGAGCACAAAAAGACATAAAAGGGTGCTGTTTGCAATGCGTTAGCACAACTTCTGTTGACTGGAGTCGGGAACATACCTTCAACAAGTCATGGGCGGAGGCTCTCTTTTCGGGATCGACCTTCAGTGCAAGATGCAAGAAGTCTCGGAAAACCGGCGTCAAGCTCTGCTCATCCTTGATCGTGGGAGTCCCATTCGTTGCGATCAAGTATAGTGCCCGCAAAGGTGACTCGGTGAGATACGGAGGCTCGCCCTCAATCATCTCGATAGCCATAATTCCCAAGCTCCAAATGTCAACTTTGCGACCATACTCTTTTCTCGTGACGACTTCCGGAGCCATCCAGTATGGGGTGCCGACCATAGTGTTTCGTTTATTGTGCGAGTCGTTAATTTGGGCGCAGAATCCAAAATCAGCTATACTAGGTTAATAGATATAGGGTGAAATATGAACGAAAGGAGACTTACTCAATTTTATATTGCCATCCAATGAGAGGAGAATGTTGTCTGACTTGATATCACGATGGATTACACCTTTGGAGTGAAGGTGCTGTAGGCCATTCAGAGTCTTCAGGGGAAATGGTTAGGATCCGGCCCTCATGTGAACAAGGGTATTTTGGGAAACTCACCTCTCTGCAGACGGCAGCAATCTGCCCTTCACTCATGATATTGAAAGTGACCACATCGGTAAGACTGCCACCCTCCATATATTCCATCACCACCCAGAGGTCCAGGCCATGAAGATAACTGTCCAGGAAATTGACTATGTTCTTGTGCTTACTGTCTTTCATGACGAGAATCTCATTTATAATAAGATCCTTCTTTGGCTGCAGATCAAGATTCATTTGCTTTATGGCAACACAGCTGCCTGTTCCATTGTGGTACGCAGTGAATACGCCACCAGAAGCACCCTGGCCAATCTTGTTCAAGTTGTAGTACATCTTAGTTGGATCGCCAGGGGTGCAAATGGCGACCAATCGTGACCGTATATCCATGGCATTGCTCTGGCGAGCTCGTTGCCGTGGGCGAGCAGCGGGAACGGCACGAGCGCCTTGTTGAAGCGCAGCAGATGGATCCTCCACAGGCGACACCTGTTGTGGAGTTGGTTGCGTCGCTTGTTTTTGTTTTGGATGCTGTGCCTGCTGTTGGCGTAGGCTTTGGCTGCGGTCAAGCTGCTTGCTTGCAATTGCCTGTTGGGCTGTAGCCATCGCTTGCTCCTGTTGTTGTTGGTACTGTGTTGGCGTAGAAGCAACAGCTGGTGACACCCATGGAGCCGCTGCGCCGTTAGCCTTGGAGTTTGATCTGCTCAGCTGCGGCCCAGACTGCAACGGCTCGGATTCCAGGATGGGTGGTGTGCCAAATGGCTGAGCATTCTCCGGAATCGTTCCGAACTGAGGCCAGGGATCCTGTACTGGTCTTGTCGTAGTGTATGAAGCAGTAGTTGGGGGCTGAGGAGCAGGGCGGGCGGGCGTCATATTAGCGGCAGCTGGGGGCCTTGGAGGAGCCCGATTGGGTACAAGGCCACTGACAGGGGGTGACATAGCCTGGGCTACCGCTGGAGCACCCCGGGGGATCGGAGGTGGAGCTCTTGGATTCTCAAAACTCCCCTCATGGTTTTGTGGAAAGCGGGGACTCGTGGGAGATGAGGCTCGCTGGCCCACCGTGCCATAGGGAGTCGAGCCACCAGAACTGGGCTGCGACGAGGAAGTGGTAACTGGTTGATGATGGGCATATGCGTGGTCAAACTTGTGCCACACCTCATCATCTCCTTGCGCATTCTTCTCGTAGAATCTCATGATATCAACCATAGTTTGCGGGTGTTCTTCCTGCTCCTTCTTTGAGATACCGCTTTCCTGTAACAGCCGTTGCCATTCTTTAGGCAGGCCAGTGAACTGGCCCGTCTGATTATCATAGCCAACATGTGTGACATGGACGGGATTTTCCGGTGCAGAGATCTTAATACCACGAGGAGAACCCAGCATGCTGTTGACGAAGCTGGAGAAACTGGCTTTCTTACTTCGCCCCACCGGTTTAGTGCCATTTCCCTCATCGGAATATCGCTTAGTATTCGTCGAGCGATCGCTATCCGTTCTGTTTACTAGGGCATCCATACGGTTGTGTAGGGCGGTGAAGCTAGCAGATTGTCTAAGTCCTCGAGTGTCGGGGGCTGTCTGAGACCGCAACGTCGGAGGTTTCTGGATGGGTTGTTTGTCGGACTCGGCAGTATTTTCTTGCAAAGCACTTAGCATACCCCGTGAATCAAACGGCGTACCGATCAATTCATCTGAGCTTTGGTCGTTGAGTGAGAATCGTCCCGAATGGGGTGGGCGGGATTTGGTTGTGTTGTGGTTACCAGAGAAATAGCCAGATTCGTTGTTTGCAAAAACTGGGGATGGCCCGCCACTGTTCTGATCCAGAGAGGATGTAGAAGATCCGTATGCGTTGGATCTCGTGCGCGAATGTTCTCGGCTTCTGCTGGCAGAAGAACGCGGGTACACGGGCGCTGAGGGGTGTCGTTTAAGTGACGTGTTGCTCTGCTGACTCTTAAGCATGCGGGAACCGATACTAGGAGCGTCCTTGTGAAGCTTGCTTGACGGTCGTCGAAATTTGAGGGAAGAAAAACTATCGTGATTCATGACGTGCGTATTTTAGGGGGGGTGTTCCAGCAGGTCGGGAGGTTTGGTGGTCGCAGGGTAAGTGCCGCTAGGCTCAGTGATGGGCTTGATTGGAGGGACTGGAGGGGGGGGGGAAAGCCACCTGTGGTGAGGCGGTGCTTTCTGGCTGGGCAGCCCAGTCCGTCAATATCGATTGTGGAACTAGGTAGTACTTCCGGGGGGTGCGTGATGCTGTATGGTAGGATGTGTCCACTGAGAGGAAGGTTGTCGTTGGAGCAATGAGGGGATCGGGGATGCAAGAAGATCCAGATAGCAATGCAAGGGAGGAGGGCACGAAAAGAAGCTGCCGCGGGCTACCGTCAACCAGTGGTTAGCACGTGGAGAGCCGCTCGCTGGATGGATCAGAAACAAAACTGTCCAAACGATTAATTCGATAAAGTAGACTTTAAAGGCGGTGACGGGCTTTCAACTCCGAGAGGGAGGAGCATGAAAGGGGAACCCAAAAAAAAATAATAAAATAATAAATAATATATAATAAAATGAGCAATTTTTATGAATAGAGGACAGGACAAAAGCAAAAAAGAAACTTGAGAAAGAGATGTGATTAACCGACAGCTCAACACACAGATCTGCAACCCATGGGGTGGGAAAAGCAAAGCAGAGAAAAAAAGAAAAAGAAAAAGAAAACGCAATACCAATGCTATGACGGTGACAACTCGAGAAGAGGAGTACGGAGAATAATTAATCAACCTCAGTTGGGGGGGCAGTGATTTAGTTAGATTGGAGGCTGGACCAGCTACGGGGGACAAGCGAGTGCCAAACGGCCCGTCCAGCGTCAATACTTGCAATAATAATATTATTAACAACGGTACATGCAGCACTTATGGGGAAGGATAATTTCTTTCACAGGCCAGCCACTGGGGTTGTTGACTTGGCTTGATCCCATTGTCACCGTTGAAAAAAAAAAAAAGAAAAGAAAAAAGAAAAAAGAAAAAAGAAAGAATTAATAATGATAAATAACGATAAATAGAATAATAAAAATAAGGGCGGTCAATGGATATTAATGCTATTAAACTTTTTGTACATAT